TCAAAAAACGGACTTTTCCGAGGACGATAACCTTCAGTGTAAAAAATTTTGAGAGGCCGCTAATGCAATGGAGCTTCACTCCACCCTGTTATCTCCATTGAACCAACAACTTCAGGTTAAAAAACAAAAAAAAATCAAGAAACGGCCAAAAAAATCAAAACTTCACTATTCGTGCCATAGATTCATGTGTAAATAGTTTGGGCGTAGCCGCCTAAGGAGAGGAGCTTTCCAAAACAGCTCTTTGCATTGAAACAAAAATCTTAAATTGGGTAGATTATTTTTTGAGAAAATGAAAAAAAAAACCAAAAATATCGGTCAAATACCCCCACAGACTTCGAAGGCTGTAGACAAAGTGGTTAAGCAAAAAGAGACCAAAGGAGTATGCAGGCATGCAAGGGTGCAGGCGGTCTTTCTATGGATACCCCTTTTTTGATAACCAGAAAAAGAATTTTAAGAAAAAAAATTGTTTGCGAAAAGTGATAAAAATTTTCCAAAGCGTCTCAAAAAAATAATAAACAACCCATTCCCAAACATAATCAAAATACCTGTTCTGATGGAACAGAAACTCTAAGCAAACATGCCAAGCAAGACATCTAGAGAGCAAGTTAGAAATTGAACAATTTTACGAAGCAGAAACGAAGCCGACAATCTTTGAGCAGACATCACTTGCGCCGAAAAAACTAATTTTGTATTAAGCTTTTAAAAGTTTCATGCCCCCCGGAAACTACCCTGTAGAAATACCACCTACGCAGTAGCTAATAGTAACTTAGTACACAGCCAGCTAGTACCCACCCATATGTGATTTAACTGATTTTGTTAAACTAGTTGTACACATAACCTGAAAAAAAGTCTACATTCCGATTTGATAAAGCTTGCTAATCGCGCGCGTAATAAAGGTCATTTTGAATAATTTGTCGTATATCGTTTCACGTGCACCGAACACTGCCATATGACACTTATTTTTGCAAAATAAGGGTCTTATAGTGTTGTTGGAGAGCTCTAACTCGATTAAAGTTTTTTCAAATCTGTTACCTCTGAAAAAATCCTAGATCCTCCTCCCCTGGTTTTTAAGTATCTACAAAATTGACGGCGACTGAAGACTTTCAAGAGTTTTTTTGTCTTCATTTTTTTTCAAGTAACCCGATTTCATTTTTGCTGGTATTTATGCCGGTAAAACGCACGGAGCTGTTTACACTTAAATAATTGGGAAAATACACGACAATTCCGTGAAAGGATTTTTTTTGAGATTTCAACCTATAAATAAGGTTTCATCACCTCATATTTAGCTATCTTAAGTTTTCGAAAGGGGCTTTTGATGAAAAATAAATCGAAGAAGGTGGGTGTTCGCTTATGCTAGAAACGCTTTTGTGAAAAAAGTAATTTCAAATAAAATTCAAAACTTGTTCTTCATAAGAATTAAGGAGAAACAAACAATTTAAGAGCTATTCGTGTACAACAACATAGTCAACAACTTACCACTTGAGTATGTTGAATGAGCTGAACCTGTTCAGTTGCGACTATTCGGCAGATCTCATTAGGAGCAATGCAAATACCGCACAAATGTCTGCAAGGCGGAGGCAGCAGCGGCGGCGCTAAGCTACTAGATACTGCTAACACGCTTGCACAAAACACCACCAACACCACCACTATGCTAGGCGTCTAAAATTCGTGCTCTCTTTTCCGTGTTGCAGCGTCAACCAGCGGCGCTTAGAAATGTGCGCCGACTTAGAAAAGAGAGAGAGAAAGAGAGAATAGTACAAAATGAGCTTTTGCTTTTACTTGCTAGCTCTTACTCTTTTCTCTTAGCGGCGGTGGAAGCGGCGGTACGTTGCGTTGCCTTATTTTAGAAAGCGTCGTTCCTCTAAAAGAAAATGCACTCGTGGTGTGGCGTAGCAAACATTTGCGGTGCTTTGCTTGCTCTGCTGAAAATGTTTCCCTTCCAATGTATTCACGCAACTCATTCAAAAGGAGGGGAACAAGTCTCCCCTCCCTCCGTTCCCTTCAACCGCGGCCGTCTCAGTCGTCGAATAATGCCTTGTTACCGCGCTGAGCGGACAACGGCCTGCTTTAGGTGCTAAGCGCGGTTGAGCAGGCTTTACAAAGCAGTGTTGAAATGTGCACACGGAATCGAATCGGGCCTTGATCACTTTTCAGACAGAGAGGAAAATTCCCCGCTCCAAAGGAAACTGAACGGACGAATTGGCGGTTCCGCGGCGCATCGCTGTCTTGTTAAGCAACCACTAGACCGCGGCATGCATTCTAGATGGCCAAAAAAATAACTTCATATAATCCTAGCTTGTCTATGTGCGCGCATGAAAAAACATTTTAAGATGAAAAAGTTGGAACAATCAAAATATTTTTCGGAAAACAAGAAGCCAAACAAGTTGCTATAACCGAGACGATAAAAAAGAATTTAGGTTCAACCTCGACATATCGTGTTGCTGTGGAGTACAAGATTCTTTGAAAGATTTAGGCAGATGATTAGTTTCATCTTAGTTACTTTTTTTGCAGAAAAAGCTTCAAATTTTTTCAAGAAATCGGCAGAGAGGAAAAATTACTTAGAAAAAAGGTATCAGCAAGTTTTAAACTTGTACTCGTTAAGCATATTTCTAGCCCTTGTTTCAATTTGCTCAAAGAACATACCAGAGGGGAAGAGGAGCTGTTTTCTAGGCGAAGCGGAGCTTCGCACCATCTGTGGTCCAAAGACAAACATAACTAATTTAAAAAACATCAAAAAAGAAAAAATTTTCCAAAGTCATATTCAAGTTTTAATAGAAAAACAATCAGTCTCGTAAAAATTGTACAAAAACATAAAGAAAAATACCGCATTGGTTAAACTCAAAAGTAAGAAATCAACAGAAACTACGAAGCTAAAAAGTGTGAGAACATTTTAAAACAAAGAGGCGAATCGGAGCATTATACCATTGCATTTAAGACCATTCTACAGACGGAAGTCCACAAAAATATATTTGAAAAAAAAGTTGAAAAATAAGTTCAAACATTAAAAAAACTTACATATACAAAAAATTTGCTCTTTGCCTCGAATAAGGTTTAAAGACAGCGTTAAGCAAGCATTGATAACTCTATATTAATCGGGATTCAAGTCAAGAAAACAGAGTCGACTGAAATTGTCGACTCATGATGATTCGACTGAGGAGCCGAAAGCCATCCCTCTTGAAATACCATTAATGTAAGAAAAAAACACTGCCTTCGAAAAGTACGCAAGAGTTGACTGAGTCAATTTAATAAAGGCCAAAATCATATGAATAAAAAAAAATCATTTGAAAAAAAAACTATTCGAGTTGATGAATTTACAAATTACAGAAACTTTCAACAATGGTAAAAATTGTTTAAATCAGTAGAAAAGTCTATGACTTGCAAAGCATGCCGATGAAAATCCGTGGCAGAGATTATAGTTTTCTATTTTAAAAAACGGAAAAAGAGCAGACAAAATTTAGGATGAAAACTACGAGTCCAAAATATATATATATGTTTTTGATTAGTTTACTCAAAAACGAACTGCTTACTACCTAATATGTTTACACCTATGGTTACTACCTAAAAACTAGTGCCGGTAGCTTTATTTGAAATTCTCGCAAATGTATTAAAATTAGAAACAATTTTCAAAGTCAGATATGTAAAAACTGGCCATATGCCTAAAAAAGAGCTACTGAACTGTTTCATTTAGGAACTTTAGGGTGTTAAATTTGGGGTTTAAAAAATCTAAACAGACTCCCCGTCTCAAGAACTTGTTCAAAACATTTTTTATAAAATTGAACTATAATAAAAAAATTATTCTCAGCAAGTATAAACTAAAAAATAATTACCTTAGGATATTTATTATTTTGCAGCTGCAATTCGGGTAGGAATGATACAGTGCTGATTTAAATTATCCGGACGAAACGAACAAAACTTGAATTTTCAAACGCGTTTTTCTCAAATTGGGATAAGATTAGACAAAAACTGAACAGGACAAAAGTTGCTTAGAATTTCACCAGAATTAATATGGTGCCATTTTTTCTCCGAAATTCTCAACAAAAATTTTACCCCAAAAATGGGTCATTTTGGCTTTTTTCAATTAATCAAGAATTACGCTGAAACTACTTTGTTAATTGATATGAAAATTATATCACAGGAAGCCTCTTACACTGTTCAACAAAGTTTAAGAAGGGTTAAATCTCCAAAAACCAGTATAAATGAAAAAAATTTCACTTGATAGTCAATAAATGTGATTTTTACTATATAAAACCCAGAATCTCTGTTTAAAAACAAATTTTAAACAATTTGCTCAAGCTTTTGGAAATTTAACCCTTCTTAAACTTTGTTGAGCTGCGTAAGAGGCTTCCTGTGATATAAATTTCATATCAATTAACAAAGTAGCTTCAGCGTAATTTTTGATTAATTGAAAAAAGCCAAAATGACCCAGTTTTGGGGTAAAATTTTTGTTGAGAATTTCGCAGAGAAAATGGCACCATATTAAATCTGGTGAAATTTTAAGCAACTTTTGTCCTCTTCAGTTTTTGTCTAATCTTAACCCAATTTGAGAAAAACGCGTTTGAAAATTCAAGTTTTGTTCGTTTTGTCCGGATAATTTAAATCAGCACTGTACTTCTTGACTGTCCCATTATTTTTCATTAATATTGCGAAAGCCAACAAAAAACACCTCAGTTAAATCACCGGAAAATTTGACAGGATACCTCAAACAAGGTAGAAACACGGCAATCAAAATGGCGTTTCAGTTCTACGTCAGAAGCATAAATATGCGCAATCAGAGTTCATTTTGATGCTATTTGACGCTGCAATGATTTAAAACTTTGAAGCATTTCAAAAATTAATTATAACGAAGCCAACTGCCGTAGTTGAAAAAGACACAATGTATTTCACAATCCACTTCAAAATACAGAGAGCACATAATGGTTCACGTTCTTTGAAGACAGTTGCTAAAAAGTTCGAGCAAGCAATACTAACTTAGTAATATATCTCAATATCTTAAAAATTAATGGGTTGAAGTTCGAACCACCAATAGAACAAGTTATGATCTTACTCCTACTATTTAGCCCGGTTTAAATTCACTCAACACAGAGTATAAAATAGTTGATTCTGATTGGCTGTAAATTCTAATTTAGAACCAAGATGGCACCCGGTAAACTGCTTTAGGGGTGTTAACTTGGTCAGTTAGTTTACTTGTAAGTTAGTTGCCTTACTACTTAACACTGATTAGAAAATACAAACTTTATTCTGGCTAATATGTTCGAACTTTTTGAAGGCGACTGTCTATATTCATTTCACTTCACTTTCTTTAAACTCTCCCTTCTTTCTCCTCAGACCCGTTTCTGTTTGAATCTATGTTGGTGCAACTCAGCTCTCACTTGGCACAGGCGGAGTAGGAGGGGGAGGTATCTGTTCCACTGCTTTCCAAGACTGCATCGGACTCTTACTAAGTTTCACCTCCACTTTGGTGGCATTCAAGTTCACCGAACATTTGCTGAAATAAAACGTGACAGGTGATGAGAAAAATAGCCATAGAGAATATGCACATCTTCGGGATCTTTATATCATTTATATATATTCCAACTAAATCAGCTGTCCCAAATACAAAATCAGCCTTCCCGAACAAAAATCCTCTTTAAGACCGTAACAAACCGAAAATTTAATTTCACCTATTGTCTCCCTTTTCACTTTTCTAGTCCACGTAAGTAATTGCTATTTAAAACCTGCCATCAAAGGCACTGAGTGATATACATGGAATTTAATCAGCATCAATTTGAAGAATAACAACTGCAGCAGACACAAAACAACTGACCTGACATCTACAGTTGAGAAGAGGTCGAAATCCTTCTGGAACTGCTGTCTGTCCACTCCATACACTATCCTAACCCTCAATCTGCAGCTGTTCGCTTCGAACTCACACGCCCCAGGGTCACTGTTCTTCGCGTAGATGTTGAGGGTGAGGAGGGCAGGGTTGTCGAAGTGGTCGAAGCGACACTTGGCCTGAAAAACAGCAGAACATACACAAAAGGAAAGAGAACAGCCTGGCATTGTGCAAGAAGAACAGAAAGTTCCGAACACAGTAATGAAAAAAAAATCTTCAAAATTGTGTTTTTCTGCAAATAGAGATAGAAAAAAATTCAATTGAAAAATTTTACTGGTTCATTTTACTAAAACTTTTGTTCCAATAGCAAATTAGAAAATTAAAAGGTGTTGGTAGGTCTTGGTGATTTTTATTGTTTCAACCACTGAAAGCCAGGAGGAACTTAGCTTTCCGGTGTGCTTTAGTGGTCCACGAAAAATCAAGTTCGACAAAGAATCATCAGAATAGATCCAGTGGTATATTTTACGAAAATCGTTATAGTCGAGATTCGAATCACTTGGTAACAAAAGAGTACTCACTTCGTTCATTACTCTTAATATGACGCATTTGTTAGATAGACATGAGAATTCACGCTCATCAAAAAGACTTCATCACTCTTCATAAACAGCTATCGCAACAAAAAAAAATCCATGAGAGAAACCAGTTCGAAATTGATTGCAAAAAGGCAAAAGAGCAATTCCTCGTTGAGATTAGGATCTTCAAAACATAAGCCAGTAGACATTTTTACGAGTCAATGAAATAAAAAAAAACAGAATATTTGTTCATTTAACTTCTTTAAACATTTTCAAAAATATTTTATAATAAATATACACTTCTTTGATAAAAACTAACCCAATTTGATAAATCAGGTGGTTCAATAGGTAAGTTTCTTTAGCCCGCAGGTTAAATCGATAAAACTAGAAATCAATCACGTTTTTCCGCTCCATTAACACTGTCATTATTGTATAGCGTTACCTGCCTTCCATTCTACAAAAAAACTTGTGAAACCAAAAAATCACAAGCCAAACCGAGAAAAAATAGGTTTCAACTTCATGAACTTCATCTCGAAATTTTCTCAATTCGGGTTGACCTTAGATGAAAAAATATAAATAAAAGCTTGCTTCAATTTTTAGGATTAAGATGTCACAATTTGTTTTGCGAAATACGGGCATAAAATTCTACCCCAAAACGGATAATTTTTGGCCACAACTACCGGGTCAATTACTGCCAAAAGTTTAACATGGTTTAACAAGGGTATACTCTCCAAAACAATGTATAATCTCATGATGTTTTTTTAAAATCATGATGCTTTATAAGTAACAATGACGTTTTGGCTATCAAACAAAAGTAAATGTATCCAAAAAAGTTTCGGAGAATACACTCTTCTTGAAATTTGTTGGGATACGGAAGAGAATCACTCTGATATAATTTGCGATCACGTTTGTGAAACTTTTTATAAACAATTGAAATTTTTTTTCTGGTAGATCGAAACCAAACAAATATTAGTTTCTAAAAATTTATGATGCATTAAGCATGCATACAGCACTTGCATTTTAATTTGAAACGAGGAAGACACGATAAAACGCTATAACCTGTAGTGTTTAGTTTTATTATTTACGGCTCAAAACAGCATTTCTATTTTAAATGAAACTAGGGGAAAAAGATGAAACACGTAGAGAAATATGTAGAGTATAACCTTTAAAATAAAACAATATTACAAAATGAAAAAAGGATGGCCAGTTACTGTGCAAGGTCAATGGTCAAATTTCAAAGGTCGAAACAACGAAACAACATAATAACTGCAGCCCAAACTATTTTCAAGAAAACGTGCAGAAGACAAAAAAATACCAACTAGTAAAATGACTCGAGAACAAAAGAAATGATATTGGAGCTTAAAATAAGAAAAAAAAACATTCGAGCAAAAAAAACTTTCCGGGCATAACACTAGCTTCAAGTACAAAATCAAATTTTAGCAAGGTGTTAAGCAAATACGCTGACTAAGAAGTCTAAAAATTGACAAAAACTAGATATTGCTCTGAAAAAAAACCCAAGTTGTCCTTGGTAAAAATTTTTCAAACTGTAGCAAAACTGTAGTCATTATGATACACTACGCTCGCTTATGTAAAGAACTAATCATTTGTCTACTTCAACTTATTAAATAATATTTAAGCAACTAATCTGATAATTTGAACTTATCTTTATTACACTTTACTGTATTGATGCATCGACTTTTACACAGTAATTGAAATGCTCTTCCCCCTTCTTCTTTTAAAGAAGTTACATGAATAGACATTAAAAATTGATCAACTGACAGAATTTTTAACAGCCATGGCAATTAAGACACAAAACATTTAGGCACGCGAAGTAAAGACAAAATCTCTAAGTTTCATTGTCCGTAAAAACTACATTAATCTAGAACTCGTGCGGCAAAAATACGTCGGTAGCGACAATTAGTTGCATGCGACAATTGGTATCATTTCAAGAAGCGACAATTCGTCGCAGAGCAATTTAATACAATAATTTTATAAGTAATTCGAAATAAGTTTATTCAGCAAAGCACAGCAACAAAACGGCCATGTATTAGCAGGAGTGGGATTCTAAGGGTTCTAAGTGGCATGTTTCACTGTAACTTTCAGCAAGAAACCCTGATTAAGTTGGTTTACAACGGATTAAGTCGCCGAAATGTTACCATGCCTCTGCAATTAAGCTCAGTTGATGATATAGCCTCGGTAATCTTCAACTAAGGTAACTCCATTAGAATCGAGAATTTTCAGCAGCAAATTCTAGCTCCCAGTTATAAGACTTATAGCGAATTGAAAACGAGACGAAACTAAGCCGAAAAAAAAATAGTTGAAAACAAAATCGTTTTTTTTTTTCGAAAAAAAAATCAGAAACTCAATTTCATAACCATAACAGTCGAGAACTACAACTACCAGCAGTAAATGAAATTTCAATATTTACCGAGCGTCCACTAAGCCGACAAAACGCAAGTAGACGCCCATTGAGCCTTAAAAAAAATTGCTAAAAATTGTTGTCAAAAAACATTTTGAGCAAATCGATTTGAAAATTTTGACATTCTACATCTTTAACTACCTGAAAAATTGTTTTAAAACATAATCAAATTTCGACCTTTAAACGACCCAAAATAAGTGGGTAAAGTCGATTACAAAAGCCGAAACCATTTAAAGAGAAAAAAAAACAAAACAGCAGAAGGTAAATATACAAAGTCAAGTCTAGTAAAAGTACAAATTACAGGAGTAGATCAGCAACACCTACAACTTAAGTGGAAACTGATTTCAACTCAAAAAATCCATGCAAAGCATAAGCAGATAAACGAAAGCCCGACCATTAAATTGTAACTAGAATTTTTTTCCAACTTCATACATACTGAAAAAACAGGCCCATTTGGGACTCTAATCCCAGATTATAAGGGTGCAAAAGCAACCACATTACCTCTAGACCAAGTGCGAAGGAATGCAGAAGTTGCTAGGGTTCAATAATAAAGCAAGTTCAATTTCTTACAGATTTGAAAGAAAAGTTATTTACAAGAAAAAAATTCTAGTTCCCGATTACAAGACACTTGCTCTCGCAAGTTTAATGATAAAATCAGAACTAATCCAACGTACTATACTCACATGGGGTTATAATGTTGACTACCCTTACCTTAGAAATGCCCTTGGTCCATTTGTGATACCCATTAGAGCATCCGGGCTGGTTTCGCATCTTCTCAAAATCAGTGTGTTTCTTCTGACAGCAGCCCCAGTATTGCAGACCTGCCGATTAATTCAAAAATATCAATTTCAGCATTAATTACAAAATTATTTAAAAAAAACCTGCAATATTTCAAGCAAACGCCTCAATTTCGTCCTTCTTAAAAAGAGATAATTCTATGTTTCTAGTTTTAAATCTTATTCTTTACTAATTTGTTGTCGAAGCAAAAAACTAATGAGCGACGCAAACTTTCACTTTTTTGCGAGAACAAACCTTCGTGGAAAACAGGAGGCTTCGGATGGTGCAGACAATCTTCAACTAGCTGCCAATTCTTCGAGTCCATTTCACTTCGAGTGATCTTCACTGAACAGCCAAAGTTTTCACATGTCAAGATTTGCGTAGGGTCATTTATCTTCAGGGTTTCATCCCCCGATGATAGTTTGATAGGTTCAGATGATAGTTTGGCTAGGGCGTTGGTGAGGGAAGGCATCACTTTGACGGGTAGTTTGACCATCGGCTCACTGGGATTTCGGTCAACTGAGATTATTTCCTGAGGTTTCGGGGCTTGTTGAGAGGCAAACAATTGCTCCATCACTTTGGAAGTGTCAGCTGAAAAAAAAGAAAAGGTAAATTATAGTTACAATTGAAATATTTAGTACACGAGAAAACAATTGTTCACGAGTTTGATTTTTTGAAGTTTTTTGGTAGAAAAAATAGTATAGTTGTGATAGATGTGTCCTCGCAAAAAGAAACGGTGAAAAAGTGTCCCATGTCAGAAAAATGTTGGGCAAATTATGGCCGTTCCCAGAACGTTTCCAGTTTTTAATCGATCCCATTAAGCTAAATTCAATTTCTTGAATGTTTTCATTGCCCCAGTATGACAAGCTTTATTGGCATATTAAGAATGACGCGTCTGAATTTTAGGCCAGGGAACACCTCAAATTTTACAATAAGGATCACAACAGAGGGCAGCTTGTTTGGGACCCTTCAGTAAAATTAAATCCAAAGGGGAACAGGCTCATGCAAGGAAAACCATGAAACCTTCAAAGACATTCCCCTCCAAAAACCATTTCTAAAAACTAGAATTACTTGTCCGCCTGATGACTTTATAATGGTATAAAGTAATACAGCATCAAGGCCAAATAATTTTATTTCGATAATTTGTAAACCTTTTGCAGATTCCTCTCCATTCTTTGCCGTTTCCTCCTCCTTCGACTTATCCACCGCGGGTGGTTCTGGCTTGTCTGGATTATGTGGTCCCTGTATACATCCAGGGTAGGATAGAAGCGTGGAGAAGTCACATGAGCTCTTCTTGCAACATGGCCATCGTTTGATTCCATCGTGGAATATTGGCATGTTGGGGTGGAATCTACACGAAGAATCTGAGTTTTGACTCGCCAGGTACTTTTTGTCCTGGCATCCTGGGTTGTAACATGTCAACATAGGCTCGTCAGCTGTCATTGTCGGCGTTGCTTCACACAATGAAGACTTACTTAAGCTAATTCATAAACCTAAAAAAACATGTGCACCTTTATGAAACATAACTTTGTGGGAGAGATAAAGAAGCCTAGCTTATTTACAAAACATTGTCGGTTTTTAATAATCAGAGGTAATTTCTTCAGAAAATGATCTACAAAATCTACACGAGATCAAATATAAAATGCAGACATAAATTCATCAAGCAAATGATGAATTTATAACCTCTTGTTGAGAGTAGGAAAGTAAATAAATCCCCTTCTCTAAGACAGACGACTTGAATAAAAAAATCGTTTGTGATGTAAAAATTCTGATTTAAAGTCCAATTGTAAAAAAAAGTAAGAGTTAAATGAAACGCCCGTTTTTGCAACAGCAATTTGTAAAAATATTAAATAATTTTGTCGCTAAAGGAAACCTTCTAGAATGTTCGCTAAGTACCAGGTCAATGCACAGTACATTCTCTTGCTTCAAAATTGGTCAGAGAATGTTCTAGAATTTTGTGGATTATTGCTTCAAACAAACAAAAAATGAGCTAAAGAAGATGAAAACAACGCATACCGTTACTGTTAACCATTGATTTCCTTTAATCGCCGAAGAGCCTGAGTAGAAAAACCAATGAGAATATAAGCTACGCTTACTCCAAGCGACCATCCAAACTTCCATTGACGGCGGCTTCAAATAGAGAAATTAAACAGCAGTGCTTTTCTGCCGTTGAGCTAACGAAAATCTGACGAGAGTTCGAGATAGCCGGAATGTTTTACACAGAGATGAAATTAAACTTCGCAAGCACATTCTCAATTCTTGTTTACATCTCCATGTTTACAAGGAGGCGAAGTAGAGCTTTGCACTACTTGCGATACGACATAAAAACTTAGCTTGCATTGCAAACTAGCAGAAGCTACTAGGCGATAAAATTTAGGTAAGATGAGCCGAAAACAAAATTGTTCTCATGGAAAACTTTGAGCTACAAAAGTCTGAAATTCGACCTTTTGTGTTTTCGGAGAGAGGGCGTAAAAATATTTTGGATCTTTTTAACTATCCCCCCCCCCCTATTTCGATTTCAGAAATTCAACTTTGGCGGATACATTTTCAATAGCTTAAAACAATTTCCAGAAATTTTTTAAATATAATTTTTCTTACGTGGGTATTATATAAATAGTGATCAATACAAATACGAAAGCGCGAAAATGAAAACCCACTTAATTTTTGGCATTTTTGAAATGCATAGTTATACAGAAATTGTTGTCAAAAATAATACATGCATAGAGGAGGGAGGGGATAGTTAAAAGTGGGGGGGGGGGGACAGTTAGGCCTAATAAAGCTCTTAAGCGAAAGGAAAATACAAATTCAAGGTTCGTAAACTTGAAAATAAATGAGTAAATCACAAACACTTTTCTGAGTAAAGCGCGAAAAATTTCCTGATGTCGCAACTAAGCCAAAACAAACAATCAGACAAACTAGAACATAATCAGTTTGAAAAAAAAGGTCCTGGTCACATTATAACCTTTGTTTTTTGCCTCTCAGGGGTTGTCAATACCTCTGTTGTTGTTGTTGTTGTTAGCCCACGCGGGTCGGGTTGGGCTCTTCTGTCTCCAGGTCAAGGAACTTAGCAACCTCTACCGGCCGAAGCCACAGGTCTGCTGGGGTGAGTGGGGAGGGGTTTTGGGAGCAGTTGAAAAGGTGACATGTTGTGTGGGGGGCAAGGGAACAGGTTGGGCAAAGGTGGGAGATGGAGCTGTCGAGGCGGGATAGGTAAGTGTTAAGGAGCCGGCTGTAGCCAGACCGGAGTTGGGAGAGCTTACAGCGCGTGGGACGTGGGAGAGATTTTTCAGAGGGGTCAATCTTTGGGGGAGGGATACAAATAACTTTAGACGGAGGGGTTTCGGCTAGGAACTTGGTTACAAGGGAGGTATGGTTGTCTTTTAAAATTGGTTTGTAGTAGTTAAAAATAAAAGTGGAGACTTCGTCTCGGTCGTCCAGAACTAGAGGGTGGTTTGCGTAGACTGAAAAGTCGGTTAAAATTTTCTGGGTGTCTTCTTTGAAGCAGCTTATAATTGAGGGGCGAAGTAGACGGGGAGGAGGGGGATGTGAATGTATAAAATTAATGGGATGGTGGGAACGATAGGTAGAGATAAAAAATTGAGATGACAGAAGGGTATGGTGGTCTTTGACCGTTAGGATTTCAGATTCACTGTGCAGGTGGGCAGTTGAACTCATTAGATTTGATCCAGTAACAACGCGAAGGGATTGGTTTTGGGCAACCTGCAGGCAATTTATGGAGGTGTTACTTGATGCGTGGGACCATGCGGGGGCTGCATAGTCAAGTATGGGGCGAATTAAAGCTTTAAAAGTTAGGAGGAGGGTTTCTTTGGAGTGACCCCAGGTTGATCCTGCTAATGCCTTCAGGATTCCGATCCTGCGTCTGGCCTTTTCAGCGGATTGTTTGCAGTGAGTGGCAAAACAAAAAGTTGGATCAAATGTCACCCCTAAGATTGTTGGATTTTTGTTTAGGGGTAGCGCCTCGTTATTTAAAAGAACACTAGGTGTTTTATTAAATTCTTTGTTATAAGAGGAGAAAAGTGTAACTGATCCTTTAGAGGACGCGAAACTTAGTTTGCGTGAGGTGAAAAAATCGTAGAGCCTTTTTAGGTAGCTATTGAGGGAGTTTGAGGCGATATCAATATTGGAACTGCTTGCGAAGGGGTGGAAATCGTCTGCATACGAAACAAGGTTTACATTATCGGGAGGTGGCGGTGCATCATGGACATAAAAATTGAAGAGTGTGGGTGATAAAACAGAACCTTGGGGTACGCCACAGTGGATTATTCGATGGGGGGATGTGTGTTCACGGAATGAGGTGGCAGCCTGTCGACCATTAAGGTAATTACTTAGCCAGCGGACTAGACTTCTTGGGAGGGGAGTGTCATGAACGAGTTCCACAAGTGAGCGATGACACACCATGTCGAAAGCCTTAGATAAGTCAAGTGTGGCCAGTACCGTACGTTTAGGGGGGCGATTTTGGTTAAAACCGTCTGAAATGTAAAATTCGAGAGTGGAGAGAGCTGTGGTGGTGGAGTGAAAAGGGCGGAAGCCGTGTTGGTGTTTGGCGTTGGGGAGATGTTTGGTAAAGATGGGGTGAACGAGCCTCTCCAGAATTTTAACTGCTGGGCAGAGTAAGGATATAGGTCTGTAAGATGTTGATTGTTTAAGATCCTTATTGGGCTTTGGAAGCGGTGCAATTTTTGAATTTTTCCAAATTTGGGGGATAATGTTTTCGGACAAAGAGATATTAAAAAGGTATGTTAAGTATTGAGTAGCAAGTGGGCCGAGATGTTTAAGATGTATATTACAGAGGCCGTCGGGACCTAGCGCTCGCGATGGTTTGCTGTCTGCAATGGCTTGTTTAGTATTTTCAGGGGTAAAAATTGGGCTGTCTGACAGTGGTAGTTTGGCAATTTTTCTTCTCGTTATACGAAGGAGTTTGTCAGAGGCGTGGGGTCTGGCATTGGTGAATTGTTTGTTAAAAGAGCTGGTAATATCACGAGGTGAGTGTATGGGTTTAGAACCAAAAGTAATGGGGTGTCTTCCTGCCACGGGCTTAGATCCATTTAAGGAGCGTACCACTTTCCAGAACTTTCTGGCACCAGTGCGGTAGTCGCAAGTCCGGAGGAATTCTCGCCATTTATTTTCTTTGTCCTTTGCTGTCTGTTTCATGAGTCTACAGTTCAGTTGGGATATGACTTCTGGGAGGAGATTTTGTTTTCGGCTTAAATCTCTTTCGGCGGCTAGGGCAGTGGACTCGGGGGAAAGAGAGGGAGTGAAGTGGCGAATACGGCCAGCGGGGATGTGGTGGCGTGCTGCCCTGAGCACCAGGTCCCTCAAGAATTTCTCTCCAGCGGCAACTCCGGAAGGTGGAACCGCTGAAAAGAAACCCTCCTCAATTTCCTCTGTGAATTTGATCCAATCTGCTTTTAAAAAATTTACAAAAGTCCTTTTAGGCGAAAAATTTATAAAATCATCCAAGGGTAGTTCTAGAAGAATGGGTAGGTGATCTGATCCTAGAGATTTAATTGGGGTCCATGATGTGGAGAGTAAGAGCGATTGGGATGCGAGGGAAATATCTGGTGACGAGAGTTGGTTTTCTGAGTTAAAAGGGACTCTGGTTTGTGTGTCATCATTTAATGGAGCAAAGGTGGATTCGGTTATTTCATTGCTAAGTACAGAGCCGCGTTGATCTTCCTCGATGTTGGAGTTCCATAGTTGTGAATGTGCGTTGGCATCTCCGAGTACTAAGGCGTCCCCAGGTTCAAGTAGTTCGGCAAGGGACGCAGAGTAACCAGGGGGACAGCTCGAGCGAGGGGGGATGTAGAAATTATAAATACGAAGCTTGGATGAACTGGCTACCACTGATATGCCCATAGCCTCTAGTGTTCCATCGTTGTTAATATTTATTTCTTCGTATTGTATCGACTCATGTATGGCTATGAGAAGACCGCCCCCTTCTTTTTCTCGATCTTTTCTAATTAAAGTGTAGTGTGAGCCAAGTGAGGGGTTTCGAGATTTCTTTCTTAATTTAGTTTCTTGGAAGACAGCAATATGAATTTGATTTTGAGATAAGAAAGCAGCAATTTCGGGTGCTTTTCCGGAGATACCGTTGCAATTAAATTGAAGGATTTTTAAAAGGCCTTTGGCAGGGTGTGGTGAACTATTTACATTATTAACAGCAGTATGATTAAAATGGTTGTTTGAACTTGAGTTATTTACACTATTTACACGATTACGATTTGCGCGATTTTGGGAGGAGGAATTATTATTCGAGGAGGTGGGAAGGGTGGGAGGGGGAGGGGGGTTAGGGAGGTGGGGTTGGGGGGCGGTTAGGGAAGTTGAACAAGTTTGGGAGTTGGGGGTGGTCAAGTTAGAGGACCTGGTGCCTGGGGGAGGTAAAATGTAGGTAGAGGTACAGGTAGGGCAATAGTAGTCAAGGTGGTGTTGGTTAAGGTGGGTAAGACCACTACATTTAAGGTGAATGTAACCACAGATGTGGCACCAGACGCTGGGCTGGGTGCGTTTGATGCGGAAAGAGCAAGGGGAGCAAAAGTAAGGACCTGGACCAGGGTTTGGATTAATGCCGGAGCGGAGTAGTAGTATAAGGATGAGCAGACGGAGCAGCCTGGCCGGCTTCAGACGCTCCGTAACCGAAAACCCGGAGACTTCGGAGCTTCTCCCGACCCAATGGGAGGGGGGGCTTGACGCCATTTGCATCTTGGTGGGGCCCAAGATGTCGGATCCACCACTGGAAGGCGGCGTCGTCTGGATCCCGTCAATACCTCTAGGCCAAGTGTGCCAGAGAAACCAAAAAACATGAATTGACTATAAATCAAGCTATCAAGTGATTCTTTTCAACAAAACGTTAGCCCTAAAAAAAAGTCTCCCACTCGATTTGATAACGCTTAGTAATCGCAAGCGTTAAGAAAATGGACATTTCCGATCAGTCACTTTACTGATAAAAAAACCCCAAATAAAAAATATAGCACGGAAGAATAACCGGTAGACAAAAACAATTTATGTTTTTTTCTGTCA